ATTCCGTTTAAACTCCTGAGGTCCGGAGTTCTTCCGACAAAACATCAGCAGTTGTGATAGGATAACAGCACATAAAGTCACAGCACAGTACTTGAATCAATCCTTTAAAGAATCTAAGGATGTCTTGTTCGTCTAACTTCTCATGCACCTTTTCTAGTCTGAAAAGCAACGGTTGAAGATTGCAGTAAACGCCCATCTCTTTGGTATAATCACTCTGTTGCAATAAACTGTCTATTTTAAAACTTCGTGTCTTTGACGCCTTTTTACAGGTAGATAAGAAGTCGAAGAATCACATCTCAGAGAAGGAATTTTCTTCTCAAAAAGAATATCTCATCTCGTCGAAGTCTACGCGCTCTCTGACCACGGCACATGGAACCCACTAATCAAGTGTAGAACTTCACCATTATTTTTTTAGATTTGGCGAATAGCTGTATGCTCTTTCAAAAGCTATTTCTGTGGAGCAGCTTAATCAAAACAGTTGACTTCAACGATCCAACACGAAACCAGAATAATCCGTCATCTTGATATAAGACGCAAAACGCTAATTAAACGAAAGGGGATGTTGCAGACCTGCTCTGACCATACTGAACAAATAGTTTCAGCACGAAAGACTTACCCCGTGCAAGTCAGTGTACCTTCAGTTTACGTATAAGTTTCACCTAATCAGTTCAAATTCTTTCGTAATTTCATTACCGTCCTCGGTACTGCTTTATACTTGACAACAGCCGAAAACTAAGATTACAGGCGAGCGTAGTCAAAAATGTTCTCAATAATTTATGAAAGAGAATATTGGTTATCATCAAACTAGCAAATAAATCCAACTGAAGAAACTTATTCAGTGTAAATTACTGTTGCAAATGGAGCAAATAATGATGATTCTCTAGAAAACAGCTTTATTTCTTTCATGAACTTGCAAAAAATACACATTAGATTAAAATTTTGGCTCTTATACATATATTAATACAACATGTATCGTAATCCGTGACTCTCAGTCAAAGGATATCGCATCTTTTAAAAACTACTCTGTACATACACATCATTTAAAGCAACTTTCAAACTTATTACAAATAAAACAAAAAAAGATACACAAGAAAATCTTAATCCTTAAGTAATTTCATGGGTCTGTTAAGTAAAAAAAATTTTTTGCGAAAAATAAGGTTAAAAAAGCCCCCACTTCTTTTCCAGTAAGCACTGCTATAACTCGTTCCAATTTTTTAAAATAGCTGAAGACGTTCCTCGATTTACTTCAGAAAAAATGAGCTATCTGGAAGTGCCAGAACCTGTTTTTAGCAAAGCATGACCCACCTCAGCAGCGTTGATTTCCTGCCTGCCTTTTTAAATCCAGGCTGGTTTTAAATCATTTAAAAAAGCACTCGCTAAATTCTCAAATCTGCCTTTCTTCCGTTTACTCTTACTAAAAGACTGCGAAAAAAAAACAAATTAGAGGCTTCATATTTGGATTTAGAATAACAAGCGATTTTTGTCCTAGAAAAAAATCCCTGACAGAACTTCATTTTCTAAATTTTAGAAAAGAAGGAATAAGATGATAATGAAAACTGCGTCAAAATGAGCTATTTTACTGATTCTTCCCGTTAAAAACAAACGGCGTTTTTGACTACGTAAACACAGCTTTTTTGAACTTTTTCCCCAACAACCTAGCTCAGTAAGTCAAAAAACTATCCTACCAGCTACAGATATTTTGAATCATTTAAATCTGAAACAGTTTTGCGTACAAATCTCGCCATACAGCCTCAAAGACTGCCAATGCGCAAAGCCCGTATCTCAAATAGATGCCCATCGGTATCAAAGAACTGGTAAGCAGACGGCAGTTCCACCACCTCAGAGAAAAACCATGAGGGTATTAAAGAAGAAAAGAACAGAGGTTACCCTCTTCCGCAGCGAAAACAAAGAACCAAATTAAAATGTGTTAGAACGAAAAGGACTCATACGTCGCCATACCAGCAACCAGTACCAAAAATTTAATTTTGGCTGTTGACAAAGTTTAATCAGAAAGCTATTTTGGGGGACTCAGTGCTTTGTCTAGTTTTTAATATTCCTTTCAGAAGCCCTTTAATTCTTCAGAATGAAAAAATACGCTTCTTCTCAAGCCGAATTGTTTAGAGCACGGCTAGTAAGTGCGGTGCGCGCGTACCTACGAGTGCAAAAGTACCGAGAATACGGTCGGTATACATAAACTGAATTTCTTGAAAAGCACGCTGGTTCTAACAACGACCGCTTTCTCACTTATCGTAAGCAACGTCGCAACAAAAAAATGTTCGCAGTCCTATATGTCGTAAATATGGCTGGAATAAAAGACTGAAGTTTGTGAAGAATACGACTAGAGCCATGTTTAAGAAATCTCCCGTAGGTAAAGGATATTCAGAATGATGAAAACATCGCAAACAAAAAAAACCACTAAAATAAAGTGTTCACAGATTTCAAAGTAGTAAAAGGAAAGATCAGAGACCCATAATTAGCAATCAGTAAGCTTCAGGAATGCATTAGCCAAATGAACAACCAAGACAGGTCATTTCAGTACACGTTATTATTAATTTTTTCACCACTACTAACTGTCCAAATCAATGATATACAAACAGAGGACGCGAAGAAAAATGCAAGGTGCTTTTGCGGTGAAATCTGTTGACTGCTTTCAGTAAATTAACCTATAAATTGTTTGTAGAAAATAAACCTCTAAAATAAAATACACCGCCACTGAGATTAAATGTTATGACTCTCACTCAAAAACCACATTAAAGTAAGGCGGCTACATTTTGTTCAGGTATTTTAAGAGGTAATCATTACATAGCAAAATGTTTAATTTCAATTTAAACATGGAATCATGCCCACTTACAACTTATTCTGCTGACTTACACACTACGGCAGAAGTAAAAAGACATTATTTCTCGTTAACGAACAAAATCTGTAAGAATATCCATCACGATACAGAAATCTCTCATTAATTTGAGTTACATTCAATCAAACCCTTGTTGATAAAAAAAGATGGAACCGAAAAGTACTGGTCGATGAAAACTTCTGACAATTCATATGTCTCTGTATTCTGCTGAAACTTAAAAAAAATATATTCAAGCATTCAAACAGTCAAAAAAAAATCAGCTGGAATAAAAGACAAACCTTGAAATTAATTTTTGCGTAGACCGATTCTACCGTACTCAGAAATAAGTAGCGAAGGTCAAAGAACGTCTTCTCAATTTCCTCCTAAAACGTTCTTACACTAGAAAAAAAGATTCAAATTGGTTGAACAGCAAACTATAAAAGGTAAAAACATACCATTTTATTGGGTACAATGACAAATTCCTCTGTAGTAATGTCGACTCCAAAAGAAGCCACTTTCAAAAATTCTTCCTCCATCTGGAACAAAAAAATCAGTTCAAAACACCTTCCTCACCTACAAGTTTTAACTCTAAGGCCACAACTCTGATCTGTCTTAGAAATATCAACGTAGTGAAAAATTACTTTTCGAGCGTTTTCCCGATGAACGAAGGACAGAATTTTTGAATAATCGATAAGTGAAACAACTAATTTTGCGCCTTTCAAGCGAAGCACTCTAGCCCGATAGTAATGTTTTCCATGATTGGGACAGTTTTCAAATATAATGCAGCACAACCCCTCTTCAAAACTGTCAATTTCGTACACGGGGTCACTCCACCGCTCAGAATAAAATTGGCTAGAATAAACGATGGATTGAAATGCAAACTGTTCCAACAGAAGGCAAACAGCAACACAAAAGGCTTCTCAGACTCACAGACTGAGACAGAAAACAGAACAGAGCTTTTAACGATTTAAAGTCCACAGTCATATAATCAATTAAAATCTGACATTTTAGCAACCTACTCAATTTCATACTGGAAGAACTCTCGTTTCCTCTTTAAGCAAGGTTCTTTTAGCACAAATGATACCCCAAAAAAAAAATTTTCTCCACCAGTCCTCTCCATCCAAAGGTCACAAAGTTCGATCTATGAAGCAGAAGAAGATAAAAAATTTTTTGGATCCGAACACGGTTTAACCATTTAAACTTCATAAAGTTTTTAAAAAAATGAAACAAAAACCAACAAATCAAAGAAGAAATTATCTGGTAACCTCTTCGCATAATCCTTCGCTTCTACTTTGCATCTTTTTGTATGAGAAGAGACAGTGAGTTTTCACCTGCGGAACTTCACCTGATCTGTTTCGCAGCGAACCAGAACGAAAACTTGAAGCATCGTCTTCAAACTTCTTCTTGAAGAAGGCGCCAGGTTTTAAACAAAAAAGAGTCCCTAAAAATCGACTGGTGAATACTATAAGCACAATAAAGTTTTTCTTAATAAAAAAGAATAGTGAAGAGCCCTTGATACACTACAAAAAAAGAGGATGTATAAAAATCCGCTATACTCAGTACCTTCTCAGAAACTTTAAAAAGCTAACACCGATTAGCACAACAAAAGATGTTCTCAAAAACCATTAATTTCAAATAAATAAAGAATGAAAAGTTAAAATTTTACTAAGTTAGCAAAATCAATGAGTAATTGACAGTTGCAAAAAATTGCTATTAGAGGTACAAACCGTTTGAAATGTCCCACTCAAATATTCCTTTATAAACATTCTGTATTACCAGAAGGGAAGAAAGCGAACTGACTACGTGACGGTCAAGGATCTCTTGTATCGGAAGTTTGTAGCCCGGAGCCGATAGAAGGAGGTTATGGACCTGTTAGGTACCAAAGAATAATTAAGTTTAGAGAAAATCATCCTTTCCACAAGTAATTTTTAGCAAACAAAGTTAGTAGCAACTAGCATAAAAGGAATAGCAATGTCATGCATTAACCACACCGCTAAAAAATAACTACTAACTTCTTGAGCAATCAAATCATAATTTTCATCGCGCTGGTGATCTCTCGGAACAAATTCATCAAAATGCTCTCTTAAACCAATTTTCTGCAAAAAATTAAAAAAATAAAAAATTTTTGACTGAATTTTCTAAGTATAGACAGCAGTAGGTCCTAGTAAAACTGCAAATTACATTGCCGTTGAGGCGCAAATTAGAATGGCTGCCTCTCCTGATAAGTGCCTTGACAAGATTTAACCAACTTCCTTCTTTAAAACTGGTTGCCTTGATGACACTGCCGAATTCATCCCGCAGAAATTCAGGAATTTTATCAACCTATAACAAACACGTGCGATTAAAATAAGTACCGTATCAACATGTACATCCAGAGTGGGACCGCAATAACCCTTCAAATCATACATCTTGAGGTCCTCTCTCAGAAACAAATTTTATTATTTTGTCTCCAAGCGTTTTGTAGGACACTATCTCATCCCGGACTGCCACTGCTTCCCTCCATGACTTTTCGCTATTCCAACGTTCAGATTCCTAAACAGCACAATAACTAAATTCCTGCCATTTTCAAGTGATGTTAAGGAGAAAGTAGGCAAGGAAGGGGGGAACAGATGATTCTAAAGATCTTGAATGAAACAAGGAAATGCAGCAGAGTGAATTACTAAAAAATAAACGCGTAGTGCGTGCTTTAGTACGTTTTAATAGAATACGTTTGAGAATTTTTGAACTAGTTATCAACGAAGACCACTTCACATTTAACTACTTGACAGATATTCAACAGCGCACATATGATTATTTAACAAATATTCAACAGTGTATACCTCTTCCTCCTCATAATCGTCATAAGGCCTTAAACGTTCTTTGTTGGAGCCAGGTTCAAGCGATCTATGTGGCGTACCATTCGCATGCCGCGAGTCCGCATCTGCTGAAAA